TGTGTGATATGTGAGTGCCGACACACACATGCCACTGTTGCACATGTGGAGATCAGAGAACAACTTTCAGATCTCTGGGGCTAGAACTCAGATCATAAGGCTTTTGTGGCAAGTGCTTTTATTGGCTGAGCTATTGTCTCAGCCCATGAAGTTATATTTTTACAGAGGTACAGAACAGCACTGACATCTTAGTGCCATCTCTGTGAGCAACACATATACATATGCATGGTGGTGACTGTGGCTATCTCCTCAAGATGGGCAGAGTGGTGGTGTCTCTGTAATATATTCATTGTTTGTGATTTCATGGGGTTGGAAACTCAAGTCTACCCAGTAGGAGCCAGTTAGATACATTATGACAGATAGATGTGATAGAAAAATCTTACCACTGTAGGAAGATAGAATCAGACAGCTCTTAAGGACATGCTGTTAAAAAAGAAAAAGAAAAGGAAAGAAAGAAATGAAGGGACAGAAAAACCTGCATAGCAGGCTATTTGTGTAAAAAGGACGAGATGAACAATGCATCTTACATTAGGGTACATTTTGAATACAGCCATTCAACCAGAGGACCGTGAGGAAGACAATAAGAGACATGGTGCACAGGGGGAGGATTTAGATTCTCAGTAAGTCCTGTGGTTGCCCATTACATGTGACACATGCTTGTGATCCCAGCACTAGAGGTGGAAACAGGAGGATCACGCATAGTGAGTTCAAGGTCAGTCTGGACTCTGTGAGTCAAAAAAGACAGAAAGAAAGGAAAAAATTCCAAAACATTCTACTTAAAGTATATTTTAAAAAAATTCAGTTAGAGAAATAAAAATAAACCTCAAAATCTAGCTACATGTTTGTGACTTTTCCACACCCTTCAAATTTGCTGAATATTCTTTTGCAAGTGAAGCACAGATTCCCATAGAGGGCAGAGTGGCCTTTAACAGTTTACTCTTGACTGTGGAATTTCAGAAAGAGACTTCTGTAAAGCATTTAAATGGGGAGGGGAAGAGCGACAGGCATGAGGACACACACCTGCAGTCTCAGGACTCTTGGGAGGCTGAAGCAGGATTACCACAAATCAAAGGCCAGCCTAAGCTGCATAGTGAGATCCTATCCCAAATGAGACGGACGGACAGATGGATGGATGGATGGATGGATGGATGGATGGATGGATGGATGGATGGATGGATGGATATGGGTGGAGGGATGGATGGATGGATGATGGATGGATATGGATGGAGGGATGGATGGATGATGGATGGATGGATGGATGGATGGATGGATGGATGGATGGATGGATGGATATGGATGGATACTGATGGATGGGTGAACAGATGGATAGATGGATGGACGATGGATACGAATGGATGGATAGGCGGATGGATAAATGAATCAAGAGTGGGGTACATAACTTACTTCATGTAACAAAATGATATAGGGGCTGGAGAGATGGCTCATTAGTTAAGAGCACTGATTGCTCTTGCAGAGGACCTGGGTTCAACTCCCAGTACCAACATGGCAGGTAACAACTGTCCATAATTCCAGTTCCAGGGAATCCAATGCCCTCTTCTGGCCTCCAAAAGCATTACATGACACTGGTGCACTTAAATACATACAGACAAAATACTCATACACATAAAATAAAAATAAATCAATTATTTAACAAAACAATTTAGGACTAAGATATTTGAATATTACTTTTCATCCCCAAACAAAAAACTTCTAAAAATTAGTCCACTGAACTCTGTTTTTAAAATTATTGTTGGGAAAAAAAAACTTTAGTGAATTAACTTCTAAGCTTTGAATTAACTTTTAAGCCTAGAATTAAGCATTTTCAAAATAAGACAGCTCCATAGAGGCCAGTCACAGTCCCACCTCTCTAGGTGACACACCATCACAAAATGAGAACATTTGTCTGAATTTAACACAGAGCTGACAGGAGAAAAAGAGCCCAGAAAACAGGCCATGAGAGTAGATGCATGTGAACATCCCTAAGCAAACATCCCATATGGTCACTCCTGCCTGTCGTCCCAACACTCAGGAGGCTAGGGCAGAATGTGAGGAGCCAGAGGTCATCCTGTACACATAAAAAGTTCCTGCTTCAAAATAACAAGGGCAGAGGACATAGTTCAGTAACAGAGCACTTGCCTAGCATGTGTTTGATTCCAAGACAGAAGGAAATAAATAAATGCAATAAGTTGAAGCTCAATGAAGGAAGACACAGCAAACAGCATCAGCACTCAATGTTAAATGTCTACGGGGAAAAAACAAGTACTGAATTTCTACTCAAATCCAACACTCTTGCTAAAAGAAACTTTGTAAATAAACTTTTTAGGAAGGAAGAACAGTATCTTCTGGGGAATGACTTTGAAGAGCTCTAGAAGGCTGTGAAAACAGAATCTGAACTGGAAAACATGAAGCGTAACCTACTGCACCTGGAGTTCTGTCATGACTGGGCACAGAGAGTAACAGGGGAGATCCTCGTGGTACCTTCTAGAGAGGATGACAGAAGGCGACCAGTCTGAGCAGCCTTCCTCATCACCACGCAGTGTTGGTACATTCAGTGGTGATGCAAACATGCCAGAATGAAGGCAGGCAGCAAGGAAGGCATCTGGTACACTCTACCCAGCACCATGACCCAAAGACCAACACACCCTGCCGTGCACAGCTCCCATACATGGCATTCCAACCCAAAAGGCCCTCAGCCACCACCTGTCCATGGACATTGGTTTTCTTGATGAAAGAAGAAGGGCCTGCTCCCATGTCTCTTGTGGTTTCTTGGCATTCTCTTAGACACACTGCTGTTCCCAGGTCCCCTGGGGTGGCCTGGGTGTTCTCTCAGACACACGGCTCTCCGTGGAGTCAAAGGGTCCCCCCAACAAGTTCTGAAGAAAATTACCTCATTGTCTGCAGAGTCTCTAATAGGTAAAGGCTCTAAATTGTTCAACAAAATAAGATAGCAGCAAGTAACCATGAATAAATACCAAGAGTTACTAAAGTTCTCAATACAAAACAAGGCACCAACAGGCACTTTAAAACAGGACGTGTTATCACAGCAACAGGAAGCAGAACTGTGTAACACACACACACACACAACTCTAAAAGCAGCCTTCCTCATCACCACGCAGTGTTGGTACATTCAGTGATGATGCAAACATGCCAGAATGAAGGCAGGCAGCAAGGAAGGCATCTGGTACAAGGTGATTTCAAACTTTGGTAAAGACCAACGGTCAGCTGTCGTGCACAGCTCCCATACATGGCATTCCAACCCAAAAGGCCCTCAGCCACCACCTGTCCAAGGACATTGGTTTTCTTGATGAAAGAAGAAGGGCCTGCTCCCATGTCTCTTGTGGTTTCTTGGCATTCTCTTAGACACACTGCTGTTCCCAGGTCCCCTGGGGTGGCCTGGGTGTTCTCTCAGACACACGGCTCTCCGTGGAGTCAAAGGGTCCCCCCAACAAGTTCTGAAGAAAATTACCTCATTGTCTGCAGAGTCTCTAATAGGTAAAGGCTCTAAATTGTTCAACAAAATAAGATAGCAGCAAGTAACCATGAATAAATACCAAGAGTTACTAAAGTTCTCAATACAAAACAAGGCACCAACAGGCACTTTAAAACTGTATATAATCTGGACATAGTGATGTATGCCTGCAATCCTGGCACTCAGGAAGCTGAGGCAAGAGGATTGGCACAAATCTGAGGCCAGCCTGAGTGACAGAGTGAGGCCAGCATGAGCTACAGGGCAAGACCTGGTCTCAAAACAGAAAAGCCAAATACCACCCTTAGAATGCATGTCATGTTTTTTCCTCTTTAAAGGTTTTATCATTTTTTGCTGTTTTTGTTTTGAGACAGGATCTCCCTGTAGCCCCAGATGGCCTGGAATTTACTATGTAAACCAGGCTGGCCTCAATCTCACCATCTGTCTTTGTCTCCCAAGTACTGGGATTAAAGGCTTACACCACCATACCTGACAGCTTTATCATTTTAGTTTGTGTGTATGATGCGCACACACATTTCATGTGTATGAGTTCAAGTATGCTCATGCCACCGCACATGTATCTAGAGGTCAGAAGACAACCTCAGGCACCAGTTCAAGCTTTCAACCTTGTTCTGTTTTATTTTGTTTTGTTTTGTTTTGTCTGTGGCAAGGTCTCCCCATGGCCCAGTTGTTCTAGAACCAGGCTGGCCCTGATCTCACAGAGACCCACCTGCCTCTGCCCGCCAAGTGCTGGGATTAAAGGCACACACCACTATGCCCAGCCCTCTACCTTGTTTGGAAGCAGGGTCTCTGCTGTTTTTCTGTTGTGTCTGTCGGGCTGCCCCTCAGCTTTCAGGGGATTATAGATGGTCCGTGTCATGCATCTGGCTTTAAAAAAAATTTATTTATTTTTAGCTTATGTGTTTTGTCTGCATGATTGTAATTGCAGCCATGGGTGTAATGACTGTGGAGTTAAGAGGGCATCAGTTCCCTGGAATTGGAGTTACAGAGGGTTGTTAGTGGCCATGAGGGTGCTGGAAACTGAACCTGCAAAAGAATTCAGTGCTCTTAACCACTGAGCAACCTCTCCAGCCCCTATTTGTGTGTGTGTGTGTGTGTGTGTGTGTGTGTGCACGCGCGCACACATCACTTGTGGGGGTTGGTACTCTCCTTCACCATTTGGGTCCCTGGGATGGAACTCAAATCCTCAGACTTGGTAGCAAGTGCCTTTACCCACTGAACCATCTCTTCAGCCCTCTATGCACCCAGCTTTTATATGGGTCCTAGGGATTCTTACTCAGATGCCCTGAGCCATCTCCCCAGCCTGAGCTTTATCATTTCACAGCACCGCGTATTCCATGGTGCAGACTCAAAGAAACTCAAAGTAAAGATCCAAATATGCATGAGGATGGCACAAAGGTTTGATCAGTGACCACCACAGCTGTGCAATATTGGTCTTGTAAAATTTCATCACCTCTAACACTTAAAAGCTCACAGATGAGAAAGGATACTGATAAATGTGAATTTCCAGTACCTGGTAAAAGCTGGGTTGTGTTCTGTCATTGCAACAAGCAGCTTCAGAGCATAGGCCGGTACTGGGTCAGGCTCCAGGAGAATGTGTTCATACCTAAAGGATAAACCACCAGAAAATTACTCAGTAGCTTTCCTCATTCATGAGCCCTGCACAACAAACACAGTAGTCTACCATGCGGAAACATTTGGGGCAGAGCATGAACTGATTATTACGAGCCTTGGGACTTGCCCAGGCCACTTAACCCCAAGAAGCTCTGTGATGCTGCTGCTGACCTACTTCATAGGATGCTGATAAGGGGAAAGTTAGTGTCAAGCTGGGCATCCAGTGAGAATTCCGTGAATGTAAGGAGTCTGTGTAGGGCATCTCTAAGGACACCCCACATGCAGGCTCAATTGAGGGCAGGGAACCCAGTGTTGTACATGGCTGTTGTGTTCATGGCTAAGACGTAGCATGGCAACATAGTGAATACACGCAGCTCAGTCTTAAGGGAAAAGGAGGAAGGCGGGAGATGAAAGAATCCCGTGTGTAAATTCCCTTGCACACAGGCACTAGCAAGCTCTCATGATTTGGCACCAATATTGCTTTGACACTCAGTGAATATTCTCTTCTCTCTCTCTCTCCTCTCTCTCTCTCTCTCTCTCTCTCTCTCTCTCACCCCCAGGGCCTTGCACACGGTGGGTAAGCACTCTCCCACAGACCTATGCTCAGAATTCTTGTGACTGAGGAAGAAGCAAAACAGAATCTTCCAGATGTGTACTGAGCCACAAGCATGGAGATTTAGAAATGCAAAGTTGAAATTTCTACTGGACATTATTCCTAAGACAGCTAACCAACCCTTCAGTATGTGATCACTGATGGAATCCGTCTATAAACTCCAAATTCTAACAGGAAATGCAAGTCTAACCTGCAACAAAGAACATGTTCCTTTCTCAGATTCTAAAGAATTAAGAAGCCTTAATAATTTATGAAGTCATTATGGCCTCAATGACTTTACAGGTCACTAGAGAATTATTTTCAAAAGGGAAGGCTGTGCTCATGTTCCCCCAGAGAGGGATGCTAAGTACCATTCTGTCATAAAAACATCACCAGCACATTTATACCAGCATGGTTTCTCCAAGGCCAAACACTCAGCTAATAAAAAAAAAATACCTATGAAGTTCAAATGCATGCTAGCTAATGTTCCCACAGGCTGCTCAGTCCCTAATGCCTTCCCTGACTACTCTGAGACACGTCACGGGAGCTCCGGCCCTGATCACTATTCTCGACACCTTTATGCTGTTTTTGTCTGGTAATTTTTCTCGAGTTCTCATAATTAACTGAAGTTGGGCCCACAAGGTGACTAACCACAGATGAAAGCCTGGCATGTCTGCCTTCACAACCTGTTGGCCTCCTTTCTGCCTACCTCCCATGAGGGTAATTATCTGTAAGGATGAGGCTGCATCCTGGACTGTTTTATGGGAGCCAGACTGATCTCCTCAGTGGATAATGGTCATTAAGACTTCTTGAGACCACCCAGCAGGACCAGCTCTGTAATAACAATCAAGGAGTCCACACCCAGAACAGGACTGCACAATTATGCACACCCCCATCCATTCCTCCTCTATTTAACCTAAAGCTCTAGTACCTGAAGATGAACCTAGGGTCATGGAACCCCTCTGTCTGGTCCCCATCCCAACACACTGATTGAATCTCCTCTACTTTGCATCCTTATCCCCCCTCCTCCTCCTCAGCCAGCACACAGGGATAGGTGCCTATAAACTCTGGTTCAAGGTCAGCTCATAGTCATTTGTTTACTACTTTGTGTTGCCCACTGGAAATTAAGGTCCTGACAGGATGTGACCTTGTTTACCCTCTTTTCACCAGGACCTGGCACAAAGACATCAGTCAATATAGTATTTAAATGAACAGAAAAAGTCCTCAATATCCAATAGGTGGAGAATTGATTTGCAAGACTACCTCCCACTTCTAGTCCTGGCCAAGAATGAAGTCTCCAAATGGTCAGGAGGCATTCGGTCTTGTTATTGGTTCCACAGGTCCAAGTGAGTAAAAATGACCCAGTTTGGGGACAAAAACTGGGAATACTTTATTTAGTTATCACAAAGTTTAAAATCCTGTCACAATTGTACGTAGGGACAATCTGTATTTACACTTGTTTGAATGTCTAAGTTCCCACTCTCCAAGAACAGCCCTGATGAATTTCCTAAAAAGAGTCCAGTCCTGGTTAGTGACTAAAAGAGGAGAAAAATGACCACACCAGTTAGCATGCCAACACAGATGGCCCTACCCCTAGATGAAAAGCTACAGGCAATCAATGGCTGTTGAGAGGAGGGAGGATCAATTTTCTCAGGGGAACTCCCTAGAGGCTATCCCATCCCAAGTGGTCAGCTCTAAATGCGAGTACAAAGAACAGCACTAAATGGAACAATAATAATTAGGAAGGGGTCATGAATTTGAGGGGCAGGGAGGACAAGGGAAGAGTTGGAAGGAGGGTCAGAGAGGGGTGGAAATTATGCAAATACAGCATTCATGTATGAAATTCTTCCAAACTTTAAATAAAAAGTGCTCAAATCATGTAAGACTACATTCAGTTCTAAGAGTTCACTGATAATGATTTTGATATTTGTTCTAGATTATTTTCTGTTGCTCTGACGGACACCACGACCAAAAGCAACTTGGGGATGAAAGTGTTTATTTCATATTACAACTCCAAGGTCACAATTTAGGGCAAGAGCTCAAGCAGAAATCAGGAGACAGGAACTGAAGCAGAGGCCATGGAGGAACACTGCTTACAGCTAGCTTTCTTAAACAGTTCAGGCCCACCTGCCTAGGGATGGTACCACCCACAGTGGGCCAGGCCCTCTCACATCACTCGGTACTTAAGAAAATACTCCATGGACCTGTACGAAGGCCAGTCAGTCTGATCAAGGAAATTCTTCAGCTAAGGTTCCTTCTTCCCAAGTGACTCTAGGTTTGCATCAAGGTGGCAGCTGAAGTCAACTATGACAAGATTAAAGTCCTGAGAGGGGCTGACATGAATTAACAAGGTCAATTTAGGCTTAATCTCCATTAAACACTGCCTCTTCTCTCCAGCATGAACCTTTAGAGGTAAACCTTGTCTCTCAGCTGCATAAAATCAGGATAATTTTCTGAGCATATGAGGTATCTTTCTTCCTCAAAGAGAAAAAATTAAACCTTTTCTCAATTATATAGATAAACTCACTTACATTACCAATATTCTAACTATCTTGAAGAAAGGAGGAAAGACTGAGGGAAGGCAGAAGAAGCATACCAGAACACGCACACATGAGTGGAGGGGCCCAGCCACAGATCCAAACAGATGAACCAAAGACAGATTACCAATAGCCAACATGAGCCATGCTCCTAAGCACTGAGTTCCCTTAAGATGGCAACAGAAGTCAAAGAATTCAAACATGCTAGGGTTTGACAAACAGTTGCTGACTCAAAGACAGAAGTGCTACAGACAAAACCAGTCCACATCGCCAGACATAAGGCAGCAGAGACCCAGGTGCTATGGTCCTTCGGTGACACAGTGGGACAATTTATCAACCTCCAAAATATATGTCCAAGTCCCAGCACAAACCCTATGAAAGGGGTACCAATGAAATCAGTCTCTAGGAGCTGGAGAGATGGCTCAGTGCTTAAGTCTATTGCTCTTGCAAAAGACCCAAGTTTGGTTGCCAATACCCAAGTTGGATGGCTCACAACAACCTGTCACTCCAGCTCTAGGGGATCTGACACCACTATCCTCCACAGGCACAGCATTCAGGTGCACAAATTCATACACAGACACAAACACAGATATACAGGCACACATGGACATATAATGAAAGACAAAATAAATCTTAAAAAAAAAAAAACAGAACAGTGCCCAAGCTCTGTAGACATTTCATACTAAGACCTGATAAATTCCACACTCGACTTGAAATGCACTTCAAATCACTTAAGAAACTGAACTCATGGCATGATTTAAGCTCTTGAACTGCTGAATGGTTTGCATACTAATTTTCTGCTTTTAAAAATTCTCATCTCTGGAAAAAGAAAAGGTGCACATTAAAAGAATCTATTTCCACCCAAATGAATAACACACAAATACTGAATTAAGAGGATCCATACTCAGCAACTCCAAATCTTAAGCCTTTTTTAAAAATATGGACCTAATTCTATGTAAGACATTTCACGCTCTTACCACTGGCCAAAATCACAATGCAGTTACATTGTGCTGGTTTGGTTTTCCAGTGCCAACAGGTCAAGGCCTGGGGTAAGGCTGCCATTCTGAAAAGCTGCTGCTCTGACTGACTCTGCAGCCCAGGTCTGAGAAAACTGTGAACTGACACACACAGTAATGCATAGTGTTCAACCTAGTATTTAAATTTTTTTTTTGGCCTTTTTGAGACAGGGTCTCCCTGTAGTTCCAGCTGGCCTGGAACTTGCTATATAGACCAGGCTGGCATTGAACTCACAGAGATCTAGGATTAAAGGTATGAACCACTATGCCTGGCTCATCCTAATATTTAATTTTGTTTTAAAAAAATCTTTTTTTAATGGTAAGATTCAGCACACTTTTTAATGTAAATTACTCAGTGACCAGATGTGTTCCTGCATGCCTATAATCTCTGCACTGGGAGGCTGAGGGAGGAGGACTGAAAACTCAGGGCCAACCTGGGCTACACAGCAAATGCCAGGACACCTAGAGCAAGTCTCTCTCAGAACAAACAAAAAATGATTCTGTTTGATCAAACAGGGTTCTTGGAACTTGGGGACCTCATCTATTCTATCAACTCCTCTCCCTGGAAAGGTTGTGGGAAGGATGATTGGCCTCATCACCTTTATTGCTGAGGAGTGCCAGGGGAAGTTTCAATTCCACATTCCATCAGTCTTGAATCAATAACAGCCCCCCCCACCAAGAGCTGGAACACCTTTAAGTCTGTATCACAAGCATGTACCCAGCAGAAAACAGATGGTGCTCTCAATGGAGCCTAGTAAGATGGGCTGAGACTCTTCTTGGTCCTCTGCCATGTAACAGCTGCTGCCAAAATCTATAATCTCTCTGGCATGAGCACACAGGTGTACTGCACAGACACAATGACATCAAGACCCTGACCCCATCACTGGACCTGCTGCACAGAGGCTTCCTGTTGGCTGCACAGCCCTCTGTGAGCACGAGCACGCAGCATGTACTTACTGGGGCAGCAGCTCATCTCTGATGAGAGCCAGGAGGCTGCTGTCGGAATCACAGCTCCCCTCTTCTTCTCCATCCCCTGGCTCTTGGATCACCAGCAGGGTTGTGGTTTCTGAGAGCAACCTCAAGCTGAAGAGTCTCCACTCCACTGGAAGGGGGAAGAAATGCCAAGAACATGGGAACATGAAGAGAGAAGAATGGAGTCTGGGCTTCTGTTGTGGGGTCACACACTTGCAATGCCAGTACTTGGAGGCTGAGACAGGAGGACTGGGAGGCTTAGGATACCTGGGGTGCATAGTGAGTCCCCGTCTCAAAAATAAGTAAGTAAATAAATAAATAAATAAATAAATAAATAAATAAATAAATAAAAAGTTCATACTGAGTACCTGAGAGAATTCTCACTACCATAGCCTTACTTACCATTCTGGCTTTGAACCAAGGAGACCAAGGGTGGCAGGATATAGTCAATAACCTAAAAGAAAGGATTGAAAGATTTGGCTCAGAGCTCTGAAAAGATAAAACCTATATTGAGTGCTGGCTATGGCTTTTTTTTCTATGAACAAAGTCACTAATCAAAGGAGGAGAGAGAAAAAAAATAAAAAGCTAAATTTATTCTGAATCTAAACTAAACTTTTCCCCCCACCAAGCTTATCTAACTCTGAAAAGATCCTCAGGTCAAAAATGATAAAACAGTAATTTTCCGAAACCTTCAGTGCTTATGAAAGCAAGTTGGTATAAGAAGAAAAATCTGCTGGCATCAAACCATCATCATTCAAGTTTAAGACAAACTATAACCAAAATATTAGGGGAAAAGAAAGACACCAATCCCCATGTTTAATCAAACACATCAAAGAACTATGACAAGTTAATCTTGGCTACAGAAAATAGATTCACAAGGTAGAAATATACTACACAGCCCACACCTGCAATTTTTTCACTTATATCAGACAAAGCAAATTGAAATATGATTTGAAACTTAACCCAAAATAACAAGCATTGATTTTTCTCCAAATATCAATGAAGAATCAGGACTATTAATCTAATTTTGAAATCTGTCTCATTAGATACACTCTTTTAGTGACAAAATTCCATGGTGTCTATTCTTTGCACACTGACAGACAGATGCACACAGCTAAATGTCAAACCACTGTGAAAAAAGAGATGACGCCCCAGCAAGGAAGGGTCTCCCCATGTGCTGGGCTGCCCGTCAACACCAACTTGTCATAGTACATTTATTTTTATTTAATTTTTATTATTTTTGATGATGTGTATGTGTGTGTCTATGTTTGGTTATAGAACCATGAATACAGGTGCCTGAGGAGGCCAGAGGCCTGCAGCTGGAGTTACAGGCAGCTGTTAGCTGCCCGGTGTAAGTTCAGTAACTGAACTCTCTGCAACAGCAGTAGGTACTCTTAACCACCGAGCCATCTCTCCAGCCCACATAGAATTGTACAAGGACTCAAAGAGTCAAGGATGTTAAATTTGCTCTTTAGCTCAGTGACATAACAACAGTGGAGGCACTTGTTCCACTGAGGTGCTTTGAGAATTGCAACTGTCCAGTTATCTCAAAAGCAAAATCTATACAGCAGGGAGAAATGTTTCATATTAACAGCACCTATGTTACATGAACTTTTCCTGGGGAGATGTGAACATCTGTTCATCCCAGATAGGGCAGTGATGACAAACCAAAAGAACAATTCTGCCTAAGTGTAGCTCGGTTTACTGGGTTTGCTTATAGACTCACAGGTGAGCAGCTATTTATAACTGTGGATGACCCCAAACAGCTGCATCACTAAGAAGTCCCACCCCAGCCTGACTGATAACCTCCCCATAGCTGCACAGTTAGCCTTCTACAGCCACAGGACTACATGCAGCTGAGGCAGAATTGCTTATGGCTGAAAGATTCGGGAAGTGGCCAAATCTCAGGTGAGTCTAATAACTGTCCCTACCCCCTCTTGAGGGTTTCTTGTATGGCAGCTGGTGATTAAGGCAACAATACCTGTTATGCACAGAGGACAGCATTCCACAAAAACCTATTGACACCATCAACACCTACCTTGTTATTGTTTTTGAGACAGGGTTTCATGTAACCCAGGCTGGCCTTGAACTCATTATGTAGTCAAGGCTGGCTCTGAGCTCCTCCTGATAGGTTTGAGACCCTGTCTCAAAATCAATCTACTCCTAGCATTCTTTTTTTTTATTGTCATGAAATTTCAATTTAACAAAAATTACATTCCATGAGAAAATGTCAAAGTTTTGGGAAACTCCTCATACTGAGTCTACAATTAGATGGAAAACATCACAATCAAGAGGAATGGCTAACACCACCAAATCGCCAAGTCTAAAGTGATGGCAATGAAGTGGGTACAAGCACAGAACAAGGCCAGAAGGTTGGTGAAACAGTGTAGGACAGACAGGCACAAGCATTTTGTAAGTGGACGAATATTTCCAATGATAGAAAAACATATAAATCATTCCTTGAAGGTTACAGGAACAATTAGCTATTTATTTTTAAAACTCAGTGGGAGACTAGGGGTATAACTCAGTTGGTAAGTGCTTGCCTAGCATGCACAAAGCCCTGGGTTCAATCTCCAGTGCTACATGAACCAGGCATGGTGGTACATGCCCATAATCTAACCACTTCAGTTGCAGAGGCAGGAGGAACAGGATCAAGGTCATCCTTGGCTATGAATGTATATTGACTGTGAGGCCAGTCTGGCTACATTAGATACTATCTTTAAAAAAAAAAATCAGAGGTTACTTTTAAATTACAAGGCTCAATCTAACATAGAAAAGAAAATTTTATGGGATAATATAAAACACTGTGGTATTAGCATAGAAAGGGATATTTTAAGCAACACTTAAAAAGCACAAACTAAAAGGAAAGCATAGTTATAGTCAGTTTTCTGTAAGTATAACAAGATTCTTAAGGTTAGGTCATATATAAAGATAAAAGGTTTGGATAGCTCACATAGATGGAGGCCCTTTCCTATCAGCCTCTGGTGAGGGCCTTGTGACAGATCATGGTGTCACAGTGGGGTGGCAGGAGTATATGCAAGAATCCAGAGTGACATATAGCCAGGCTCCCTCTGTTGGTAACACCTCACTCTCTTGAGGACTAAGGATCCTGTGAGACTCACAGTATTCCCTTCCCAGAGCAGCACCCCAGTCACATAATTGAGATCCACTAGGCTCACTGCCTCAGTATTCCCTTCCCAGAGCAGCACCCCAGAGTCACATAATTGAGATCCACTAGGCTCACTGCCTCAGTATTCCCTTCCCAGAGCAGCACCCCAGTCACATAATTGAGATCCACTGGGCTCACTGCCTCGCAACACCACAAGTCTGAGGAGAAATAGTCTAGCACATCAGTCTCTGGGTTCACAAACTAGCCATATCCAAACCCAGTGCAGACATCCCTCCATCTCTACTTGGTTAGGTTCCAGGACACCACAAAGACACAGAACCCATAGGTGCAATTGTCTTTTGCATAACAAGGTAGTGCTGCATATGAACCCCACACCCCCTCCCATGTATTTAAATCCTGTCTAGATAATTACAGTACCTAATACACCTGGATGCTATCTAAATCACTCTTGCAGAGAGTGTTTAGGAACGAAACAAGAAAAAAGTCTGCACAGGCTCAGTACAGATGTGTTTTTGCAATCACAGATGCAGAATCTACAGACATGGATGGCCAGGTGACTAATCAACCTGACTAGATTAAAATGAAAAGCGTATTTGTGTCCCATGCACCCGTCTTAGTTATTTGTCTCATTGCTGTGACAAAATACCTGACAAAAGCAACTTAAGGGAGAAAGGGCTTATTTTGGCTCAGTTCTTCAGTCCAGGGCCCCAGGCCATGGGATGGCTATACCCAAATTCAGGGTGGATCTTCTCACCTAAGCTAACCTAATGTAGATGTTCCCTCACAGACATGCCCAGAGGCTTGTCTCCAGTAAGTCTAGATCCTGTCACAACTGATGATCAGTAGTAGCCACAGTCTCCTTAGATGAGAAGAAAAGCCCCTGACTGGAGGTTGTTAGCAATCCCTGGGCCTGACAACAAATTAGTGTGTACAATACATTAAAACAAGCCAGTGAGAATGGGCAGGCCCCAACTGGACAAGCCAGTGAGAATGGGCAGGCCCCAAATGGACAAAAGAGATTGAAGAGGAGACAGGCCCCAGAGTGGATGGTAAACAGCCAACAGACACATGAAACACCCAAACCCAACATAGACAAACAAAAAAAATAAGATATATTTTACACATCACTAGCTTAAAAACAGGACAAAACATAGCAAGGGCCTGCAGGTCTATAAAAAGATGGGTACTCAGACATAATGACAAATTAACACAAGTTAGAAAACCAATTCCACAACACCATCCACATGCCGACAACCCAGCAATCACACCTCTCTATGACATGTTTAGATATTCATTTCAGACCTGATTGGGGTAGGGGGACGAATAGATAAATCTCAAAGTTATACTTTGTGGAAAAAAATCAGCTCGCAAAGTACACAGACAGCAGGACAGTAGGTGCTATGGTAGAATGTGTGTAAATCTAATTTTCATTTCATTTTTTAATTAACATAGCTTTTCTCCACCACCCCAGGGCAATTACAATGCCCCACAGTAATACAAACTCCAGCCCCAGTTCTGAGCGCGATCCTTCAGAGGGAATACTTGGGCAGTAAGGAGGTAGGAACTAAATGTGTAAAGGAAGAATGTGAGGAAATTGAGAAGACTGCCCACTTTAGCTCACAGTCACTGATTCCTTTATCAGAAGAAAGCTGCCAGGGAGGAAATGAATTGAGGGGCTAGAGAGACGGCTTGGTGCTTAAGAGCAGAGATCCAGGGATTCAGTTCCCAATTCCCATGTCTCTAAGTCTAGCTCCAGGGAATAGGACACCTTCTTCTGCCCTCCCTGGAGATCTATACACACACATACACACATAAATAAAATAAAAAATACAGAAATTGAATAATAAAAATTATCTGAAAATGTGTGCTTACTCAGTAATTCAAACTAGACAGAGAACTGCAACAGTAAAAAAACAACCTGAGCAATTTTATGAACAATCTATTCAATAACTCATTAGATGAAAATAATAAATGCTTTTCAACACGGATCATTGCTTTAAAGATTCTAATAAGGAAAAGGAGACCACATATCTTTTGGCAAACTGTGCATCTCAATATATAATGATTTTAGTAAAGAGGAAAATTTGAAACTAAACTTAAAATATTAAACAAGTTATGGCCTTCAGGGCACAGGACAAAGAAACATACTTGGTTCCTGGAGCAGTTATAATTTTAAAAATATGAAGAACACCAACAAGCAAAATTTAAGCAACTATTTCCATATATGTACACACAAGTTGAGGGTTATTTCTCTGCTATTAAGAAAATACTGTGTGGGGGGATGCATGTAACTGACGCTTCCTAACATGTACACATGTATGAGT